TAACTACTGATTATTAGGATCTAGTGATTTAACCCAAGGTCTGTGACTGCTAAGGAAAAACAACTTTTTTTTTAATAACTTGATTTTTTATTTGGGAGAATATTGTAAACAACGTTTGTATTAGAAGCAATCTTCATATCTTGTGTGTTTGTTTGTCCTAGGCTTGAACTCAGGGCTTGACACTGTCCTTGAGCTTTTGTGCTCAAGGCTAGTGCACTACCACTTGAGCTTCTTCTTCTTCTTTTTTTTTTTTTTTGGTAGTTAATTAGAAATTAGTCTCACAAACTTTCCTAGAATTGCATTGAACTGCATCCCTAAGGTATCATAAGTGGCATAAGTGGGTACAATTAGAGGACCAATGACACCCAGACATTCATATAATTTGAATAGCTATTGTATGTTTGTGTATTTTGGTGCCAGCGCAGGAGCTTGAACTCAAGGGGTTTGTGCTCTTTTCTTTGGCTAGTCCTGAGGCTTGAACTCAAGGCCTGGGCACTGTCTCTGAGCTTCTTTTTGCTCAAGGCTCGTGTTCTACCACTTGAGCCACAATGCCACTTCTGGCTTTTTCTGAGTAGTTTATTAATGGTATGAGTCTCATAGACTTTCCAGCCTGTGCTAGCTTCAAACCATGATCCTCAGATCTCAGACTCCTGAGCAGCTAGTATTACAGGCATGAGCTACTAGTGGGCTTTGTGCTCTTGCTTAGCTTTTTTTTTTTTTTTTGCTCAAGGCTGGATGGAAATCTACCATTTGAGTTATGCCTCCACTTCCAGCTTTTTGATGGTTGACAGGAGATAAAGTCTCTCAGATTTGTCTGCCTACGCGGACTTCAAAACCTGATCCTTACCAAGCACCGGTGGCTCATGCCTGGAGGCTGAGATCTGAGGATTGAGGTTCAAAGCTAGCACAGGCAGGAAAGTCCTTGAGACTCTTATCTCCAATAAACCACTAGAAAACCAAAAGTGGCACTGTGGCTCAAGTGGTAGAGCACTTGCCTTGAGCTAAAGAGTGCAGGGACAGCGCCCAGGCCTAGAGTTCAAACCCCACAACCAACAAAAAAACCCAAACCTGATCCTTAGATCTTAGCCTCCTGAATAGATAAGATTAGCCACCAGTGCCCAGCCTCACTGTAACATCATTCCTAATTATTCACTTAATTTCTTTCTATATCTCATATACAATCTTCTGTGATTAAATCTTTGGTATATAGCCGTGACTATTTCCTTGGGATAAATTCCTTATTTGTAAGGTTCATAATTTAAGCTAACAGAAAAAGGCACTACTATCCTGCCAAATATTCAATTGTTCTTATTTTTAGCTTAAGCTGATGGTGTCAAGGTTGATGGTACCTTAGAAATTGATTAGGAATTCTCTTTTTTTTTTAGTCAGTAGTGGAGCTTGAACTCGGCTTGGATGCCGTCCCTGAGCTCTTTCACTGGCCTTGAGGTCTACTACTTGAGCCACAGTGCCACTTCTGGTTTTATGGTGGTTTGTTGTGATAAGCGTCTCACGGACTTTCCTGCCCGGGCTGGCTTCGAATTGTGATCCTCAGATCTGAGCCTCCTGAGTAGTGAGGATTGCAGGCGTGAGCCACCAGTGCCTGGTTTTTATTTTTATTTTTTTGCACAGAGCCTCACTATGAAGCCTCTGCTGGCCCTGAACCCTTGATCCTTGCCCTCAGCTTCTTAACTACTGAGAATACAGGTGTGCACCTGCCTGGCCAGACAGGACCTTTAATCAGCTTAAGTAATAGTGTTATAGATGGTGTTTTTGGGTTTGATTTTTGTTGTCAGTTGTGGGGCTTGAACTTAGGGCCTAGGCCCTGTCCCTGAGCTCTTTCATTCAAGGCTAACTAGTGCTCTACCATTTTGAGCCACAGTACCACTTCTGGTTTCCGATGGTTAATTGGAGATAAGAGTCTCACAGACTTTTCTGCCCAAGCTGGCTTTGAATCACAATTCTTAGATCTCAGCTCCCCGAGTAGCTAGGATTATAGGCATGAGTAACCAGGACCCAGTAATTTCTTTTGTCTTTTTTTGGTGCTGGTCTAGGGCTTGAACTCAGGGCCTGGGTACTGTCTCTGAGCTGTTTTGCTCAAAGCTAGTGCTTTACCACTTGAGCCACAGTACTACTCTGGCTTCTTTTGGTGCTAAATTGGAGATGAGTCTTTTCTCCCCCAGGCTGGCTTTGAACTAAAATCCTCAATATCTTAGCTTCCTGAGTAGCTAGGATTACAGCTGTGAGCCACTAATGGCCTGGCTTAAAATGGTGCATTTTTAACACAATTGTATCCTTTTTTGTTGTTGTTCAGATATTCTTATATAAGTTGTAAGATTTAAGAAATGAAAATACTTTATTGCATTTAGTAGTATTTATTCTCATATACCATGTCAGTCTGAAAGGAAAAAAACGGAAATTTTCCTAACACTTTATTTTATAAAGACTGAAGCAAAGAATTAATTCAATTTGCTAGTTATTTCTTATCATGAACAGTCCCTTTACAACACACCAGTAACTAGCTTCTCTTTTTAGCTGTTCCAATTATTCTGAAAATAAATTTAATATGGGCATATAAAGGAAAACATTATTGCTCTGAAGAGTTTCATAGGATAGTCAGTATTTGAAAAGCCTAAATTTTAAATTTCTTTTCCAATTTTAATAATAGATTTTAATATAAAAGAAAACCATGTAATTTCAGCAAATCAACACATTAACTATTTTCATTTTTTCATGTGTCCTTCTAGTCCTAATTTATCTCCATGTAGTTTTTTATATTAGGATCACAGTGCAGATTCAATTGGTATTCGTTAGTTCACTTCATATTATCAACAATTTTTATCTTGCCATTCCCCTAATACTAATTAAATTGCCAGTAAGAAATAAGAAATGTTAAGAGCATGCATTTTCAATACATTACTATATTTCCTTTTACTCTACGCTATTCCTCTTTCAGAAACAAAACAATAGTCCCCTGGATAGGGGCTTGGACACAATACTTAAACAAAATACTTAAATGATTCCTTGCATTAATTAGGCAAGTTTAAGAAACACAAGCTGCAGCATGAATGGTCAAACTCTCTTCTGTCCAGCTTTTTGAGACATTAAAATCTGATTTTTCTCACTTAAAGTCATCCAAGTTAAATTCTTGGATGGCTGCCAGTGGCTCATGCCTGTAATCCTAGCTACTCAGGAGGCAGAGATCTGAGGATCACGGTTCAAAGACAGCCTGGGCAGGAAAGTCCATGAGACTTTTATCTTTAATTAACCACCAGAAAAACAGAAGTGGCACTGTGGCTCAAGTGGTAGAGCACTCACCTTGAACCGAAGAGCTCAGGGACAATGTACAGGCCTAGAGTTCAAGCCCCACACTGATAACCCTCCCCCCACCAAAAAAAATTCCTTGTGGTTATTTTTACTTCTCATCTTTTTGGTTTTTTTTTTTGGGGGGGTGTCAAGCTTTCTGTCTAAATTTTAATTCTCCAAAGGTCATTTTAATTCCACCTTCTCTCTACCTAAGTTATTTATTTTTTTGACTAGATTGTAATTGGGGTGCTATTATGTTTCTTTTTTGATGTTAACGGTATGTTTCTGATTAGATTGTAAAATAGAATAGAACTTACATCTTTTAAGAGCTTAAAACACACACAAAAAAAACAACACAACACAAAACAAAAAAACCCCAAACCCAAAATATCCTAGCTACTCAAGCAGCAGAGTGGAGGGGGATTTTAGTTCAAGGCCAGCCCCTGGTAAAAGTTATGTCCCCAACCCTGTATTAACCAATAAGAGAGTTAAAGTGTGCATCTGCTATCCCAGCTACAGAAAAAGTGTAAATAGAAGGAATGTAGTCCGTGATGGCCTGGGTATGAGAAAAATTTTAAAATAACAAAATTAAAATTAATTGTTAAAGCAAAAAAAAAAAAGGCACTGGTGCCTGGTTCAAGTGTAACTGTAAATTTAATCCCCCCAGCTTCCCCTCTCCTCAAAACCTGTATGTTTATCTTGTTTACGTTGACCAGTGTGTGTGTGTGCGCGTGCTCGTGAACACGCATGCCAATACTAGGGCTTAACCTCAGGGCCTGGGCATTGTCCCTTAGCTTTTCCTGCTCTACCACTTAAGCCAAAGCTCTACTTCAGACTTTTCGGTAGTTAACTGGAGATGAGAGTTTCATTTTCCTGTCCAGGCTGACTTTAAACTGCAATCTTTAGATCTTAGCTTCCTGAGTAGCTAGGATTACAGGTGTGAGCCATAGATGCCAGAAAATATTTAGCATCTTTAAAAAACTCAGTTTTTAAGTTTTTATTTAACAGAAATAATTTTGAGGCTTTCAGTCTAGTCTATTTTTTACACATTAACTAAATATGAAAATTAATCCTATTTTTCCCTTTTAATTTTATTCTACTAGCCTAATTAACTACAGTTACTGTATCTTGTTAAAATCAAGTTCATAGGGTCTTTGGTGTGAAGAATTAACTTTAAGTGTTACACAGCATTTAAATTCAACACATAACAGTTTCCCACTGTTTTTTTTTTGGTCGGCCGTGGGGCTTGAACTCTGGGCCTGGGCGCTGTCCCTCAGCTCTTCAGCTCAAAGCAAGCCCTCTACCACTTGAGCTACAGCGCCACTTCCAGTTTTCTGGTGGTTTATTGGAGATAGGAGTCTCAAGGTCTCTCCTGCCCGGGCTGGATTTGAATTGCGATCCTCAGATCTCAGCCTCCTGAGTAGCTAGGATTACAGGCGTGAGCCACCAGCACCTGGCTTCTTTTTCTTTTTTGTAATGCTGGAGATTGAAGCTGGCTGGGCACAGGTTAGGTAAACTCTCTTAACTCTGAACTTCAGTCTCAACCTTAATGATTATATTTTGGGGATGTCACTTGACCAAAAAAATTTAAATCCAAGTAAAACAAAACAAAAAATACTTAGGGAGATAAAAGAAAACATTTAATCTTTTCTTATTTGTCTAGAGTCTAAAACAAACCAATCTTGTCAAGTACTTACCTGAGCCATCAGTAGGAACAGAACTTGCATTGATTCCAGAAAGACCGAACAAAGGACACTCTCGGTCTGTGTTGACGTGACCCCATTTGTGGCATTTAATGCACCTCACATTTCGAACCTAATAGTAAACATTATTTTAATTCCAAAATATAAGAACTTAACTTTCAACTCCCTGTGCCTTAGGCATATTTTAAAAAGATCTGGGGGGTGGGGAGGAGGCTGGGAAGGGATGTGAAGGGTAAACAAAGGAGGAGGCTACAATGCTTGATAAGAAATGTAATCAGGAACCTTACTTCATTGTTGGTGGGAATGTAAACTTGTCCAACCACTTTGGAAAGCAGTATGGAGGTTCCTCAAAAGACTTCACATAGAACTCCCCTA